TTACATTTTACCGGTTTCCTGTATTACTTCATTTAATCTTACTAATAACTGCAACTTTTAACAAAACATTTTCAATTGAATGGGAATTTTTAATTTAGAAGTAGTATTCATCATGGAATGACATCAGTTAGGGAACCATTGGAAATTTGAGAGCACTGGACAGCTGTTTCTTCCCAGTATGGGACTCCTCACCAGTATGCACCCACGATCAGGCTAGGGACGGAAATCAGGACCTTCAGGTTTCACGGCGAACGCGTTAACCATACAAGTGTTTCACAATTTCCAGCTTCTGTCAATTCGCGACATAGCGCGACTGTCACCCAAGGTCTTCAGTTAGCATCCACTTCACTTCCGACAGGTCGATCCCGCAGGTCATGGCTTCTCACTACAGCTTCGTGATATCCATCTAGAAGCAAGTCACTAATGAGCACTATTCACTAATATGTTATTGAGATGAATGGGGAGAAGTCTCATACTAGGATGAAACAGCTGTCCAGTGCTCTCACATTTTCAATGGTTCCCCAAATGATATCCGTCCATGATGAATACTACTTCTAAATTAAAAATCCCCATTCTTATAATTATCACCATCATTATTGGTCCTTGAATTTTCCATTGCTTAAATATAATTTTCCTGACCGACAGAAGTCTCGGTAATCTGTTTAAGTGTTTAGTTTGATAGATAAACTATCATTGTGACCATTTGAGATAGCCGTGGCTTGGCAGACTAGTATTGATACCGGGTGATGATTGAAAGTATAAATAGTAGTCTATTAAACTACGGTTATCTCAGATAGTCAAATGATAATCAATATAATGCTCTTCCTCTCTGATTCAGTTGGATTTGAATTGGGATGAGAAGTCCTGACTAGGCAGCCAGTGTGAATACGATCCGGGGGTAGTAACGCATCACGAATTCACTTGGTAGTCGGGCAAAACCCTTGTGGATTGAAGTGAAATAAAAATCTGGACATCAGTCAGACCTCGTAGCTCAGTTGGTGAAGCACCTGTCAAGAAACTCGACGGTCGCTGGTTCAAATCCAGTCACTGTCCAAATTTCCATTTCACCTCCAATCAAGAACCAATACTGCTAGTTAGAGCGCAAACTGAAATGCTTGTGGTGTTTTTCTCTTCTTTTTCCATTTACAAAAGATTATTTTTACTGAAGTTTCTTTCTCATATAAAGCTTAATATCCTGTTCGATTCCTGGAGTATTACCGAATTAATGATTTATTGAGTGCCATATACATCTGAAATACGGTCTTTCAGTCATATTTACGTCAATGGTCTCCTTCTACTGTTTGCATGTTCGCTGATTTAACTAGTTTAAACATGGTCAGCTTTCCCAGTCTTCTTTAGGCTCGGTTGACAAAATGACCGAACGGTTTAGTAACACATAACAATATCACCCTTCAGTCGGAAATCTACTGAAGATTATTTGATGAAGAGAGGGTCTTACTCCAGTTCTCTGTCCACCACCAAGTTCCTGGTCAGAACTCGTCTTAGTGGGTATCATTATCCAAGAACCTGGTAGATTGGTTCCCTCATCAACCAGGAAACATTGAAACAACTCATCCTTATGAAAACGAGTACTCCTACCAGGGCACTGCGGTAACGCTTCTTGAAAAATGATCAGTCTAAAAACCCATCCAAACTGTCAGGCTTCAACGCATTCAGATTCGCCGTGTTATCGAATCGTTTGTTAGTATCCACTTCCCTGTGGGCAGACATGCTTGGAATGCGTGTCATTGAGTGGTCATAATCTTTCAGAAGAGATACAATTCATATCCCCCTAAGATTTCCCCCCTCTCACTGCAGTGTCACAAGGGCTAAATCTGGGGTCAAGGCTAGAGTGAAGAACATATGTCATTCCGGAACGAATATTTCTCCCACTTTTGCAAACCTGACCATACCATCTCTCTTCGAATTGCTTCAACAACAGGGCCCCCAGAATTCGGAAGCTGAAACCCCGCACCCACAGGCCGGACTGCTCCTAGTGCACTGGGACAAATCCTGACAGTTGCCACTGACCTGTGCAGATGGATCTTGTCATTTGTGTTTATCGTCAGATCAACTATGCAGGGTGAACTGGTTAGCATCCAGCGGAGCAACAGGGTGTACACACCGTCGGGGTGCAAATAGACTCATCTAGTAATCACCGGTGTACACATCGCCTCCAGTTTACCTGGCCAGCAACCTATACACCATCACCATTCAACTGCACCATGTAGAGCCTATTCAAGCTGATGCCCTGGCATTTAACTATATCCGGCCATTTGGACACCTTTAAGAGTCACAGTTATACCTGGCAAAGTAAGTAATTAAGTAGGGATTAATTCATGAATAACTCAGCTTTATACAGCATCCTGCATGTCACCTACGATGAAGAGAATCTGAATTACAGCTTTCGCACTCCAGGATGTACCTACATGGAGGCTGTAAACTGTGACACATAATATTGAAAATGCACTGCTAAGTTGTTCATGCCCCAGCGGCCAACTGTGGAACGCTCAGATGATTGAAGTCATGCATATTAGGTTGAATTTCCAGTGGGAACAATATCACTCACTGGAGGCTCTCTTGTTATACAAACAAATTTCAGTTAGATATACTGGTGAATATTTAGAGAAGTTATAAGATGTCTTTGTGATTTGAATTTTATTGGTGAATGACGTTGAAAAATAGCTGATTAATATAGGTAAATTTAACTGCAAAGTTATAGGAAATATTTGGAAAGTTGTCTGAACTTGACTGGAAATGTATTCTTCATTTGTCATTGGATATTATAACTGGTTTAATAACACGACCAGCGAACAATGGAGTTCCCAGTATTTTGTCGTATATAAAACAGACAAATGATTCATTGACAATGAAGTGAACACGCGGCGGCGGTTGCATACTCCTCACACCAACGCTGAGTATATTTGCAGCTGAAGCTTCCACTCCTTCCTCATTGACTTTGAGAGCTGTACTTTGTTGAAGTACATCGGCGTAGATTTTAGCCTCAGTTATACCTACAATTAGTAACAACAAAATAAGACCTATTAATATTATTATTTGTCTGTTGGATTCCCAGTGGAATATAAAGCCTCAGTAGCACGTCACCATTTCACTCTCTCTATACAGTCTTCTCAAACTGGCTCCAACACTGCTCACATACTCTCATTTCTTCCTCACACCATCTCTCCAATGTCACCCACGACTCACACGCCCAACTCCCCGTTCGCCGTTTCGCTTCCACTCAACGGTCTGACCTCGCCTGCCTGACACGCGATGTCCACAAATGGTCTTCTCAGTGTGTGCCCAATTCAATCCATCTCCACTTCTTTCTTGTGCATATTTGTTGGATGATGAGTTGTTGGTTGGTTCGTCGTCAGCCAGTCAGAGTTCCTCCTTGCTTATTACTATTATTCTGACCATCTGATCTCCATCTTCACTGTCAGTATTGAGTGAGTGTAGGCGGTAGCTGTTTGTTAGAAATGCTTTTCGTAAGGTGCAAATTCTCTCAACCATCACGTAAAGCACTGACTTGATTGAGATTAGTGTTGAAAATCCGGTTCTTGTTCACGCTTCATGCTGAGTGGAGTGGAGTGGAGTGGAGTGGATTAGATCTCCACACTGATTTCAGATTAATGCAGGAATGTCTGTTTTGCTGTCATTCCGATGTTGGCTCTGACGTCCTCATCTGTGCCTGTGCCACCTGTAGTCGAGATGATGTGCCTAGCTGGGTAGGTGAAAGAGACAACTTGCTTTATATTTCTCTCGTTGATGGTGGCTGGTGTTTGTTGTTGTTTTTGGTTGAGTATCTTCATCAACTCTGTGTTCTCTACGTTCACCTGAAGGAAGCTTCGTCTTTACTGCCTCACCTCTTCTAACAACTTCATGATTTTTGTTTAATATAAGAGTAAAATTGTACACTGTAGTAGAATTTAATTCCTTTTTATTGATATGTTAGGTTTATCACACGGTGAATAAATAGTAGTGTTTACTGGATCGCGTTCCAGACATAATTTGTTGTCCATAGTCATATCAAGATAACTACACAACTTTGAGATATCCTTTACATAGTCCTAATTCCGTCGTCTCTTGCTGAGATGGGTAGTAAGATTTTCCATATATCCGGAATAGATGTGTACTTATCTTGAAATGACTATGTCCGAAACGTAATCCAGTAAACAATACTGTTACACTGTGTGATAAAACTAACAAAGAAATAATATGGAATTGTTGGTTTTTGCCTGTGCAACAAGACATTAGACATAAACCATCATTGGCGAAATCCAAATCTTCTAGGGTCTAACGAAATAAGATACATTTGAAAACGCTGTTAGTCAAGTCATGAGTTGAGATAGCTGGTCACCACTGAATGATGTTAAACAGATAAATTTGAATCTGACGGTGGAACAACAAGTTAATCACAATGAACTCCGACTGTTTTAGGTTCAGCCGGTTGCAAAGCTGTCAATCACATCACAGAGGATCAATAAAGCAAGATGAAGCAGTTGTACAGTATGCCCAGATTTTCAGTGATTCTTCAAGTGGCAATAATGTGCTATGAAAAAAACCATTTGGGTAGACGAATGTTGGATCTATAAAGCATGTAACATGAATTCTGAATTAACTGAAGTACTCAGCATGATTTCAGCTAGGTGATAATTTTAGAATAAAATACACCGCGAACATGTTATGGTTTCAGATTGGTATTCATCATAGATTGACATTAGTTGGAAGAACATTTGAAATCTGACAACACTGGACAGCTGTTTAGTCCCATTATGGGATTCCTCTACAGTGTACAACCACGACCTCGCCACAGATCAAACCCAAGTCCACTGGGTTCTATCGTCATCATGTTACTATTGAGTCACTGTGTTGGAATCCGATGGTCTATATTTCTTAATTCTGTCAGTTCACGATATAGTGTGACCTGCATTTAATGGCTTCGTTGAGTAAGTGTTATAGTTTAACAAGTGAGTATTTGCAATATGTGAAACACTCACCTTTCATATCTGCAAGAACTGAGTCGAATAAATCAGTTATACCCAACATTCCTAATGTTTCAATTAGATCAAATGATGAATCCATTCTAAATCTTGGTAATTTCAAATAAACTTGAGTAGGATGAAGTTTCTTCATCAAATTTGGTAGTTGAACTTCACCACGTAGAAATCTTTCAGGATATTGAAGTTTTCCAGATTCAATTGGTAAGATCACAACAAATGTGAATCGTGGATTCTGAAATATTCAAAACATTGATACAAATGGAATTATTATTAGTCAACACTGAGGTTTATTCTATTAGACAGACTAGTTTTTCAATACTTTATCAGTGAATAACGATATACTACTGTTGTTCGAGATGTTGTAACTCTTGGGTGTATTGTATTCTGTGAGCTGGGTTGTTTAATCGTGGAGCTTTCATCGTATTTCTAGACCACATCATCACCGACTAAAATAACAACAACCCAACAACACACAAGATCAGTTGCATGCTGACTCTATTCAGAGGAGCGACAACACACTGCAATACAACAACTTCATGGAGAAAAGAAGAAAATTACTTGATGTCTATACTAAGGAAGAAAGGCTACAGGCGAAACTTTATTAGAAGTTACCTACTGAGTAAAACACCAACTACAAAGCCATCGACGGACATTAACAAACGCATCATCAGAAATCACGGAAAGATTACTAAGACCACTTGGAGGAATTTGTGTGGCTCATAAATCAACGAATTCCCTAAATACACTATTATACAGACCAAAGGAAGCAGCAACTGAATATCATTTACAAAATCAACTGCAATAATACTGGTCAACATTACATTGGACAAAATGTCCGCCCTCTTCGCCTTCGTTCACATGGGCACCAGTTGGCTATTATACTTCAAGACATCTCATCACTCATTTCAATACACGTGGATAACAACTATGCACATGAATTCAATTCGAAATGCAGAAATCTTGGGGACAGAGAGATGAAACACAATGAATATAAGAGAACTCCTACAAGCTTGACATTCAGGCCAGTCAGTCACCAATCAACAGATGTATAGACACACACCCAATCTATCAACCAGTGAGAAAAATGACAAACGACAGAAAGGTTAGAGGTGAATCAGAGGGACAGCCAACAGGAAAATCTGTTCAGTTGGTCAGTAACAGTCAGACCACATGGTCAGGACATCGTCAGGACTAAATCAATCACGGAGTGATATTAACAGGTCACTTCCTACTGAAGTTAGTGCTGATGATGATGTCTCTGTCTATAGAGATGATGAAAGCCTCACGACTAAACAACCCAACATACAGAACACAATACTACTAAGACCATCCACCTGAGCTACAAATATTCTCCACTAGTTGCAACTCTGTCTGTCTGACTGTTGTCGATTAAGCTTACATCAAGTTATGCCTTTCGTCCAACGAAGTTCTTTCTCGTGGTGATCACGTTGGTAATCTCCATTGGCGAACACCTCAACATTACCTGTATACTCATTATTTTTGATAGCCTACAAGTTTTCGCTGTCACCTTTCTGATATCCATCAGGTAAGTCGACATTATCATACTATTATTATATTATATTACATATATTATATTATTACTAGCAGTTGCCTGCACAGCCTGTCTTAACACCGTGCATGTCACGCCACCTAAAAGCAGAAAGATCATATCGTCTGCTGAGAAGACAAAAACCGCAACAGATCCATTCATTTGGCAAGTATTTATATGAAGATATACAAGGTCTACATAATATGAGTTGCCTGATCAAGTTGGTGATGGAAAGACCAATTCCATACATCATTAGTCTAGCATGGTTCTCAGTCTCCGAATCCATCTTCATTGGTCAACTGGTTAAGAACACAACAGACACCATCAGTTAATCATACACATCTGATACAGTTAAATTTGTAATATTGTCAATCACCTATCCGAACCAGCTGTCATTCAACCCGATTTTCAACTTATTTCCATCACAATCACCTATACGTTGTTGATTTTGTGGGGCTTAACTCACAAACATTTCGAATAGAATTCATTACCCTGTTCTGCTATTCCATTGCTTGTGTATGTAAATATTCGGTGTCAGTTGGTTGAGAGATAATCATTAGGAAACTTCACTTTACCAAGGTCTTCTTCTTCTTCTTCTTCTTGTTACTCATCAGCAAGGCGTCTCTCCAACCTTGACAGAACTGATGTGACACGTATGATTGAAACCCATGTCAATTTATGTTGCAGTCACAGACGATACCATCGAAATTTCCGAGTTGTGACTAACCTTCTGTAGGAATGGATTAGCCACACTGATTGATCACTGGAGAGTAATCAACTTCATGTTTTTGGTAGTTCTATGTCCTGATCGAATTCTACTGATAATTTCGCAGTGCAACTGCAAGGCTAAGAGGCTGAGCATCGTGGATCACTTTGATGGATGTTATTTGGATTGTGGTGATCACCAGGAAGCCTTGCTTAGCCCAGATTTTGTTCTCATCAGTAAGATGCATCTGTAACCTGACAGAAACTGATGTCCCCTCAAGATCAACACCCACGTCATACAGTGCTGCAGTCACAGGAGTTAGCATTAGGCATCTTCGACCGGGAGTGAATATGCAGTGTTTTGTTACTATGGCAGGTGATGGTAAGAAAGAACTATCAGTAAGTGACTGATACCTCACATAATTTGTTTTGTTGAATGAATGTGTTCATATTGCTGGGCTTTCCTTCACCTGCTGTAAATGACCTTCATGGGAACTACGAAGTACTCAGCCGATAACAGATTGCTTTGTTGTCATCTCTAAATTAGTTAACACCTATGGTCATCCCGTTTTTGTGATACTTCACTCATATATGCTATTGAAGGTTAACAAGAGGAATCTTTCACAATACACCTGTTTGAATATGAATAATTCAGTCTACTACACCACTGTCAATGGTGTGGCAGTATCCTTCAAGCAATTCGAAATCACAGTTTCGTTTACTTGTTTTTAATCCCAGATATTTCGTACTTTTTATTGCCAACAAGAAGTCAAATTTACAAGGACTGTTTCACAGTTTTCACCTTTCCTTCTTTATTCTGTTGATCATTCTTTTTCGTAAATGCCTAGGACTTCAAGAAAGTGACTAGGAAGTCATCCACCATTTATCGTTGCATATAAATACTTCCGTCTATCAACTCGAAATGAACAAGAACACACATAAGAGCATGATAATATGGATCTATTTTTTCTTATTTCGGTGGTCTTCATCGGCTGTTTACGACTCCCTAAGATATTTACTGTGAAATATCAAGCTTCTTTATTGTAGGGAGACTAGTTAAATGGGAGAACGACGTAGTGAGGTGGGGAAACTGTCTGCAGTGAAATCAGGTCAAAAGGTGGTTTAATGGTGTCATATATACAGGTTCAAGGCTTCCTGCCGATTGCTTTCCTCCAACCAACAACTGTGTAACTTAGAACAAGAAAATACGCAAGTCAGTGAGTAGGTCAGTTGGTAGTGAGAAGGCAACAAAATGTAACAGAACATAATGAGTCAAACACAGTGGATTGAGGTTAGGGTTCAAAGTTATCCAACAGACTTTAGTGAAAGGATAGTGATGTAGCCTATTGAATGGAAGGGTTAGAAATCAAGTTACCAGGATAGCTGAAGATGGACAACGGACATTTTCCAGTACATAAATCTGCAATCAGGAGTTGGATTTCAATGGCTTCGTTGAAGCCGCAGCAGTTACATTCAGGGAGTAGAAAGAAGGACTTATCTCCGATGTTTTGAACATGTCCCAAAGAGCCTATGACTGAAAGGAGCAACTATCCTCAATAATGCGACTTCTAATCACTTATCAAACACAAGATATCAAACAGATAATTCAGAATCCTCAATCTCATCATATTCTGTTGCATTTTGTTTTCTGATTATTACTAACTTATCTACTTTTCGTCTTGTCAAGATTTCTTGCTACAAATTACACAGTATCCAGTTTCTTTTCTGCCTCCTTAGATCCAATATCTAATTTGTAAGAGAACGAGAATGGTATCATTACATGACATCCTGGCTGTATTTCAACTCGGACAATTTCCTTACTTTGCTCTATGTCTCTGGTGTCCCATTCTAACTGATTTCATCGAACTAAACGTATGTTAATATTTCACTGTAAATATTTTATATTCCAAGCAGCTGATGACAATCACCGAAATAATCAAATGAGTTCATATTATTCTGCTCCAATATTTGTTCTTGCCACTACTGTTTGGCAGTTTACGATTCCTTAGTAAATACTGGTTGTTCAGCAGTCGTTAATGTTATAATGAGTTGACGCAGGTGAGTGCTGACAATGGTTCTAATATGTTCTCTGAGCTGGGTTATTTAGTCGTGAGGCTTTCATCATCTCTATAGACAGAGACATCATCATCAGCACTAACTTCAGTAGGAAGTGACCTGTTAATATCACTCCGTGATTGATTTACTCCTGACGATGTCCTGACCATGTGGTCTGACTATTACTGACCGACTGAACAGATTTGCCTGTTGGCTGTTCCTCTGATTCACCTCTAACCTTTCTGTCGTTTGTCATTTTTCTCACTGGTTGATAGATTGGGTGTGTGTCTATACATCTGTTGATTGGTGACTGACTGGCCTGAATGTCAAGCTTGTAGGAGTTCTCTGATATTCATTGTGTTTCATCTCTCTGTCCCCAAGATTTCTGCATTGTCGAGATTGAATTCATGTGCATAGTTGTTATCCACGTGTATTGAAATGAGTGATGAAATGTCTTGTCGTTTATTAACCAATGGGCGTGCCGGAAATACTTCCCATAGTTAACTTGAAAATAGGTTCATCGGTTTTCAGTTTTTTCATGAAAGTTAATAAGTTTACCAATGGATAATGATAAGCACATTTAACAATCAGAATAGAAGAGAAATCTTAAAAGTTTTTCTTACCGAAAACTCTTTGCTGATGACATGAACTTTGAAATTTGAGAATTTTCCATAATCGATTCTATCAGTGGTTTGCATCATTGGTATTTTTATAACGGGTTGATTAAGTGGTTTGAAAGTATTTTCCGATGTGGAATACTTAGGAAAAGGTTTCTGCCACTTGCCTGAAATCATAAATTTATAAGCGAGTAAACAAAATTAGAATTCTATTTGGTGGTTGATATTTATCACGACTGACATCATTTGAAGGAACATTGGAAACCTGGGAACACTGGACAGCTGTTTTGTTCCCACATAGGACTCCTCAGAACTGGTCACTCATGACCCCGCTAGGGTCGAAATCCATGACCGTCAGGTTTTTACGACCAGCAAGTTACCATTCAGCTACTGAGTCGAAATCCAATCGCCCACATTTCCTTATTTTTGTCTTTCTGCGACACATCTCTATTTCCATGCAATACCTATGTTGAACAACTGTTCTCACTTACGAATCTCATGTGGAAGCAAGTCACTAATGAACTATTCAGTACCCCTAGGTTTACAGGGGATCACCATCTGATACCAGTCTCTGATAAATATCAAAATTTAAATTAAAACTGTTACAGAAAACCTAAGGCATCAAACAGTTCTGACCAGTTACTATCATGTTATTGGCTGGATACTCTAACAACTAATCCAAGAAATTTAGCTGCTAACCACATCTTAAGTTCGTTTTGTTCACTAAGGCGTTTGTTAGATTCCCTTTTGAATCCATGACAAGTTACTCTCCCTTTACCATGATCACACTAGCTGCCAAACCAGGCTACCGATTGACATTTTGACACTTTATTCATTGAATTTGAGGTTTTGTGGAGATTTGGTGATTTTTCAAGTCAGTATTTATTACCAATAAATCTAGTGCTCATTGGTGACTAGCTGGAGAGCTAGATAATCTCTAAAGTTCCAATGAGAAGTCGTGACCACCAGGGGAAATCTGGTGGCCATGAGGACAAATACTCGACGATGACATTGGATGATGGTCGCGCTATGTTGTGAACTGTCGGAAATTGTAAATGTGAACGACTGGATTCCGACCCAGTGGATGGATGGTAACATACTGGCCAGGAAACACGAAGGTCATGGGTTCCATCACTTAGGTGCAGGGTCATGAGCACGCACGTCTGAGGAGTACCTCTTGAGGACGAAACAACTGTGAAGTACTTCCAGGTTTCCAACGTTCCTCCGAGTGATATCAGTCCATGATGAATACCAGCTTTATGAATTGAAATTCAAGAACAAATCCTCATCGAATCGCTGAGGAATTCGCTCACCTATCAGATGATCAGAATATATTCAAGACTAGGTCTGATCACAAGCTAAAGGGTGTAAGTTCTACCAAATAGTTTGTCTTACATCCAGTCATTTAGGAAAACTAATTTACTACTACTAAGCAGTTAGAAATCAAATTTCCAGGTTACTTAATAATATATTGTTCTAAAATGGGAGCATGCAATTCAGAGGTTATAAGCTAACCTCATCACTATTCAAAGATCATTAGTTATCGATTGGTTTCATAATTTTCTTTCCCTTTAACTGTCCAACAGAAAACTTAATGGTTATTACTGGGAACGTGATCTTCAGACAGAAAACAAGATTCAAGCTGAGGATAGGAATAACATCCAGCATTTTCGGAGCACGCAGGTTTATCCATGGTTGTTTCATCACCAAACCAGGTGACATCATCAGCACTTACCTCGTAACGATGCGAAGCATTTTCAAGTAGTATGAGTGTGTATTGGGGATATTTACCAGACTTGAGGGCTTTTCACTAAGTAGGAATTACCTGTACTTCTTCCTCTCACTAGTTGAAATTTAACTCACCTATTCGACCTAATTTTTCATTGATCTTTGGTTTCTTGTTGACTGATCTCTTCTGATTAGTCTGTACATTGGATCCATGTAAACGTGTCTGTTACTCGTCATTCGACAACAAAACTCTGCTCCCAGGAATTCGATTTCAGTCTTTCAGTTCGATTATTTTGGTATCCTCAGGTAATCCCAATCGAAGATGTGGTTATATTCATCCACATGTGTCATCATCATCATCAATATCAACATAGGACCAGGCATTATTGACCAAACGTCACAGTTGCCACACCTCATCTCAGATCAATACATCAAGAAGTAAACAAGGCAGTCAAGTGGAACATAAAGAAAATAAAATCTTGTCAAAAGAAATATAAAGTGCTATAAGAGAGAAATGAAAAATGAGAAAATGGTGAGATTCGGTATAGCCTGGTTAAGATGAGGATGTTGTGTGTGGGGATGCATCTGCACCACTGACATCGGTTGTCAGACATATCACCTAGAGTCAATCTCCAACCACTGCCTACTCTTCTCCCATGCATCCCATCCACCTAGTCTACATCGCCCCATATCGCTCAAACCAATAGTCAGACACTTCATACACTCATGCCATGTTCTAGTCTGGCTGCCTCGTGCCTTTTGCCAGCATCAACCTACCTCCACCAACATTGTGTGATGAGGCAGATGGTGGTTAGGCATAGGTGACACGTGTCCCTACCAACCATCTCAGTCGATGAAGGTTCATAACCCCATCAACTCACTCACCTCTTCTCACTCCATAAAACTCTACACCTGACTTCTGTGTTACTCACGTGGTGACACAATGGAATACGGCCTATACTAGGAAGGCGATGGTGGTCGAACACCTCCAGCCAGCCTTCTCATGTCTTCCACCCTCACTGGTCATGTTTCACAGTTTCCAGGAGTAAAGCAGAAAGTGATTGCTGTGCAGTACACGCAACTCTTAATAGACAATCTGATATGAGGTTGGCGCCACAGGTGGCGTAACTTGTCTAAAGCCATTCGACCCTTTTGTATTCGTGCACGTCAGTGGATATCAATGATGATATTTCATGGTGTTTCACTTCAGGTTGATGTTCATGAATATTTTGGTCTATTCCACGTCTGTATTGACCAACATAGGGATCTGGGAAGTCTTTTGAAGTCATTTTGTAGATAATGTTCGTCTTGCTCTGTGGGTCCTTCATCTTACATACATAGTTGTGCCATGCTGATGATGAATAAGTAAAGTAATCAGTTGACAGTTCCGGAAAATCTTTGATATATAATTGAGTGATTTTTCTCTGGGTTCATATAACAGTTGATTGGATCGTAAACGACTCTTGACACCTTGCAAAAGTGTTTTCTCCTGACTTCCGCATTTGTTGAGTGCTGTGCTGAGTCTTAGCACAGGCGAATGATGCTTGTACACAACTTTTCTTATGTGATGTCACCGTAGTAGTTCAAGACGATATATGTGTCGCCTTCCTGTACACTTGAGTTCAAAATCTTCCACCACTTTTTCTGCTGATAAGTACATCTAAGAACGTGATTCGATTATTTTCTTCCTGTTCTTTTTGGAGGTGAATACCTTTATAGGTTTGGTTGTTTAGACTGGAAGTGTGTTTTCTAATTTGGTAATCGAAAGCAGGTTGTCGATGTAACGAATCCAAATTTTCGGTTAAATCTCTGGAATGACTGTTCCTGCATTATCGTTCTGCTCACAACGAACTTCAGTATTTCACTTCACAGAAATTCTTTCAGTACACCAAACATTTTTGATAATTTGCTGAATATTTCAAAATATCTACACGTTTTGTAAACAGTCGCCTTCCCCCTGATTAAAATCTTACCCGGTAATCATCAGCACCCATTGCGAATCGACTTCCATACCTTCAAGCAACACTTATTGTAGTCCAAAAACATACAGATAAACTTTGAATTCACTCAACAAATCTTTACAGACTGGTCACATGTGGAATATATTCAAGTTCTACGTAACACATCCATTGTAGTTTTCAGAAAACCGTTTGAGAGTGACCAATAATGGTTATCCAGTAGGTGTGTATTCCTCTAATCTCTTTCTACAAGTTCACTTTACCAGTCTATCCACCGAATTTTATATCGAATACAAGCCATTCCAAAAGTTCAGAAGCTCATTTACTGGGAATAATAATATGCAACAATCATTTCCTGTCTTGCCGGTTTGAGTTGTAATTTTAGCGTGCGGTTTTGCGTACTTCATTTTCAAGATAGAAATGATTGATGAGAAGTGAAATAGACAGTTTCCTTATTACTACTGACTATTATCATAACTTGCTATTGAGTCAGGAAGGAGTGAAGTTTTTAAGTAACAAATTCGCTCTTGATGATATCATCCTTTACAGCTGCACAATCGCATAGACACTGTACACAAAAATGTCACTATTTGTCAACCAGTAATTGTGAGTAGTTTTAGATCATTGAAATAATGTGAGAATAGAAATAAATTAAGAGATTTGAGCTGGAAAGTTTAGGAATTCAAAAATCAATAAGGGCAGAAAGTGGCAAAGTCGCCTCCGGATCCACGATATTGGTTTCCATTGCTACATTCCCAAACCTCTACCATTGCAAAGTAAGCGTTTCCTTGCACTCTTCGGAAGATAACATTGCATATTGTAGACCACTGAGAGCCAACTTTCTCAAACTGTGTCATCTGTCAACCAAATGCTCTGAAATGGATTCATAGACCAATCTTTATTTACCGTTATTGAGCCATGCTGGAGGCTGTTTCCCTCGACTACTACTACTACTACTTCTACCACTACTACTCCTACTACTACTACTACTACTACTATTAGTGATAATAGTAATACGTTTTCAGATTGTTGTTTGACAATGAAATTGTGAGCGATAGTCGGATTAAGCATTGGGTAAATAGACATAAACGTAGGAACAACATGACTTACCTTTGAAGTACAGTGTATTGATCAGCGCTAAATAGGTATCCTTTTTCAGTGGCTGTTTCAAGAGCTCCGGTATCATTTCATTTGTTTTATTGCTGACCCATCCATTGATCTTTCGTGTAGTATCTCTCTGGTCAGAGAAATCCACCTACATTTTCAAAAAACGAGGGTCTCTTTTATTATCTCCTTAATAAGTCTAAATGAAATCTTGTCAATAACAACCTCCCTACAGAACCAATTAGTGCCTATAGGATGAGTATTAAGATACCTATACATCATTCCAGGGACTGCACTGATGCTGTACCTTGTGAAAAACGCTTACTTATACATATTTGTTCAACTGACTCTTACTTCACCATCAAGGTTTATAAAATATTGGATTTATAACATTTGAATTTCACCGGTGATTATTAATGTCGAATGTCGCACAAACTCGATGATCTACGGGTGAAAATTAACAAGTTGACAGAAGAGACATCAAAGACACGACTTCAGGTGAACGTAGAGAAGACACAGGTGATGAAGATAACCAACCAACAAGGACAAGAAGAAGCTGCAATCACCATCAACGGGAGAAATCTAAAGGAAGTTGTCCCTTTCACCTACCCAGCTAGGCAGCATCGTCTCAACTACACGCCACACAGGCACAGGTGACGGCGCCAAGGCCAGCATCCGAAAGACAACAAGACCGGCCTTCCTGCATCAATCTGAAGTCAGTGTGGAGATCTTCTGCACTCTACTGCACTACACTACACTACTCTACACTACACTACACTACACTACACTCAGGATAAAGCGTGAACAACATCCAGATTTTCAACACTGATATCAGTCAAGTCAGTGCCTCCATGTGATGTCTGAGACACTTTGCGCATTACAAAAGCATTTCCAACAAACTACAGACATGCATCATATCACTATCTGCCACCAACGCTGACTCGATCAAATGGTTTGAAGAGTAGTACTGAGCAAGGAGAAACTCTGGCTGGCTGGCTGGTTGGCCGGCAACGAGCCAACCGACCAACAACCTATGGCCAAACAAATGTGCAGAAGGAAGTGGAGATGGGTTGAATGGGCTATACACTGAGAAGACGGTTGGCGGACATCACGTGCAAGGCCATGCCATGGAGTGGAGTCCAAATGGAAGGCGACGAGTTAGGCGTTGGATGGTGACATGGAGAAGATGGTGTGAGGAAGAAATGAAAGCTTTTTTGTAGTTGTGGAGTCAGTTTCAAAAGACAGTAGAGAAGACAGTGATTTACTGAAGCCCTGTATTCGACTAGGAACCCAAGGGACAAATAATAATAAATAAGTAGGCACAAAGCATACCAGGAATCAGTGATGACAATTGGCGAAACCATCTTCAAACAGATAAAGCAAAGTTAAGTATTCGCCCTCAAGATATATCTATGAAGGCTTACATATTATAATTTCATGCATATAGATTTAGTTGAATGCTGAAATGGTTTTCAAGGGGAATTTCATCCTTTTTAATGGAACAGACAATTTAGAAAGTCTATGACATAGCCTACCACTAACAACTACACACTAGTCAAATATTTCACATTTCAAAACAATTGAACATTTAACATGAAAAAGAAAGAAGCAAAGCACGTACGTTACAGACATCAGTGAAGAATTTCTTTGTCATTTTCCTTGAAAAATCAGACTTGATTTTAGCCCCATTTCTTATGAACATTCCATTTCCAATAGTGATCATTTTTTTGCCATCTACTTGCTCTGCTGTCAAATTATGATATAATGGTGTAAACAACTGAGAAATGATTTCTTGTTTCCCTGTACAATCATAGATTTCCAAAGCTTCAGCTATCTGCACTTTTGTATTACCTTTGACTCCTCCAGAACCCAAAAGTGTTGCAAGTAGTAGGAAAACACTGAATGGAGATGATAAGTAATCACCTGTTTCTGAAGTATTGAATAGTTAAACAAATAACATGTGTAATAAATGAAATCTCTTATTATTTATAAGCATATTGACCAAATTCATTAACCCATAACCTTTTAATATCTTTCCCCTACAGATTATTAAGCAATTTTTTAGTAAACTTTTCAGATAAAAAATTACTTGTCATGACTTTTTAAAGGTAGAAAATGGTTTTGGAAAAGGTTTCCTCTTTGAAAGAAGCGTAGTGTTGATTCAACGAGAAAATTCTTAAGTGTATTTGTCATTCTGCTTTTGCAGTGAAGACAGGAGTGAAACAAGGTTGCCTACTATCCCCCATGATATTCCTGATTGTGGTCGACTTGACTGGATGATGCAGCAAACAGTGGGGAGCGAGAAGAGGGGGATACACTGGCTGGACTGCGGAAAAGAACCTAGAAGACTTGGATTTCACCAACGATGACTTGTGCCTTATGTCACATAAACTTGAAGATGTATAGGGAAAAACTAACAAGTTGGTAGAAGAGGCGAGACAGCGAAGATGGGACTTCAAGTGAATATAGAGAAGACAGAGGTGATGAAGATACCGCACCTACAACTCCAACAACAACAACAAACTGCAATCACCACCAATGGGCTAAACTTAGAGGAAGTAGCCTACTTCACCTATCTAGGCAGCACTGCTTCAACTACAGGTGGCACAGGCACTGACGAGAACGTCAAAGTCAGAATCGGAAACAACAGCAAGACAGGCGTTCATTAGCCTGAAACCAGTGTGGAGATCTTCTGCACTCCACTCAGCATGTGGAACAACATCCAGATTTTCAACACCAACCCAGTCAAGTCAGTCCTTCCATGTGATGGTTGAGAGACTTGGCGCGTCACGAAAGGGATTTCCAATAAACTACAGACATTCATCAACAACTGCTTACGCTGGCTACTGAAGATCAGGTGGCAAGAATAGTTAGAATAAGCAACAAGGTGCTCTGGGAACGAACCAACCAAGAACCCATCACTCAACAAATATGCAGATGGAAGTGGAGATGGATTGAGCATGCACTGAGAAGGCAGACTGGAGACATCACGCGTCAGGCAAGTTGCTCGAGTGGAATCCCCATGGGAAGCGACGAGTTGGACGTCTGAGGTGAGGGTGACATGGAGGAGGTCATGCGAGGAGGAAGTGCGAGCTTCTGGGCTGTCATGGAACCAGGTTCAAAAGATCTCAGATAACAGAGGTCACTGGAGACGTGCTACTGAAGCCCTATGTTCCACTAGCAACCCAAGGGACTAATAATAATAATAATATTTGTCATTTTATTCACATATATGGTTTTCGTGTCGTTAATTACATGCAACAGTTGATACTTCTGCGTATAATAAATACACTAACTTCAACAATATCTTTAGAATTAAAAGTGCCAGAAAACTTCTGGTGTATGCATTTACTTCAGCAACTGGACTCTGTACAGCTGAAGTGTTATGATGGAAGTTGTATACCTCTTCACATTGTAAGAGATGTAAAGAGAAAAAGAAAGGTGAATAATAATCCTAGTGACTAGGAGAGGAATCCAGAAAGTGTGTTTCGTCCCAGTTGGGACTCAGCAGCTGGATTTGCGTGCACCTTAATGAATGTTCTTCCTACCCAAGTTTGAACTCAGTACCTATAGATTCAAACACTACAGCGTTACCAACTAAGCTGTAGTTATGCTACTTGTATTTTCCTATTTCTATACGGGGTCGAATCGTACGACCTTTATTGGGAAATAGACTGTTAGGTGGAAGCCTGGATACTGCTGTGTATTCATGCTGTGTGTGCAGACAAATATGGATCATGCAGATGAACTATTCACAGCAACAGAACAGCATAGGTGCTTACTAACTGGTCATGTTGTTCAGCAATATATTCACTAGTTCATGACGCTTTCTGCCTCAGAGATCATGTACTATCATCTTGACTGAATGGTTTTCAAAGGAAACCCAGTTAACAACATAGTTGGGCAGCTGAAAAACTACTCAAATGTGAGAAATGTCAGTATCGACTGCACAAATTTGTAAATCATTTGTGAATTGATCAACTTATTCACCTACGAAGTTGCCAACTTTATACGGTTTCAAATTTCTTATCGAATAGATGCTTCCTTCCCCAAAAGTGATTGTCAACAATTATCAAGTTTTTATCCATGACTTCATACAGATATACATACTTTCAACCTCTAACACTGAATTCATGTTTTCTTTGGATCAAATCCACTTTCTTTATGAAATGTAAACCCACTAACCTTTATGAAGAAAACGGTAGACAATCGATTACTTTGAGTCTTACAGTAATCATCCAACATTAGACATATTATTTCAAGTATCACAATGAGAAAAATATGCAAGTAGGTGACGAAAGTGTACAGTGTATCCAACTTATATGTATGTAAATGGGGGAGGGAATGAAATGGTTTTTCTTAACAAGTCGTACTTAGTTCAAGTAAGCACTACAATACAATCCACCATAAAGTCGTTGTGTATAACCACATATTTGTCATACTTCACTAACAGTAGTTATGCTTCCGACTCGTTATCATCATCAATATCAACATAGGACCAGGCATTATTGACCAAACGTCACAGTTGCCACACCTCATCTCAGATCACTACATCAAAAAGTAAACAAGGCAGTCAAGTGGAACATAAAGAAAATAAAATCTTGTCAAAAGAAATATAAAGTGCTATAAGAGAGAAATGAAAAATGAGAAAATGGTGAGATTCGGTATAGCCTGGTTAAGATGAGGATGTTGTGTGTGGGGATGCATCTGCACCACTGATATCGGTTGTCAGACATATCACCTAGAGTCAATCTCCAACCACTGCCTACTCTTCTCCCATGCATCCCATCCACCTAGTCTACATCGCCCCATATGGCTCAAACCAACAGTCAGACACTTCATACACTCATGCCATGTTCTAGTCTGGCTGCCTCGTGCCTTTTGCCAGCATCAACCTACCTCCACCAACATTGTGTGATGAGGCAGATGGTGGTTAGGCATAGGTGACACGTGTCCCTACCAACCATCTCAGTCGATGAAGGTTCACAACCCCATCAACTCACTCACCTCTTCTCACTCCATAAAACTCTACACCTGACTTCTGTGTTACTCACGTGGTGACACCATGGAATACGGCCTATACTAGGAAGGCGATGGTGGTCGAACACCTCCAGCCAGCCTTCTCATGTCTTCCACCCTCACTGGTCATGTTTCACAGTGGTAGAGTAGAGCAGAAAGTGATTGCTGTGCAGTACACGCGACTCTTAATAGACAATCTGATATGAGGTTGGCGCCACAGGTAGCGTATCTGTATCTGTGCATAGATTTCATTGGCAAGTGACCCACCAGTGCTGATCCTACTTCCCAGGTGACATGCAAGTCATCAAACGCGCCAAGTACGCCGTTTATCATTTGAGTCTACACAATATAAAATGTAATCTGTTTGTGTAGTTTCATCTTAATATTCGATTTGAATTTTTCCCGTGTCCAGCTAACAAATAACATGGTTATTCTGTATAGGAGACTTGTATTTGACCGCTTCAGATATTGGAAGCATTTCGAATCCTTTCAAATACCATGGTAACCAACTAAACAATGTCCAGGCTGCATAAATACTTCCATATTTCTCAAAATTTCATTTAGACTGTGTTTTTTATTCATCCATCGATTAACCGTCTGACAACTCTGCGAGTACCAATGCCGGACAAGAAGATTTCAGGTATACTGTGTAAAATATATACTGGGGGCAGCTAGTATTGACCTTCCCGTCAATTACACCACTTATTGGTCGGTGTCGCCGGTCACCTTGTAAATATGAACCTCACACAACGTAATCCATGGAAGTGTTCTTCTCACGCTCCTTTAATGTATCCTTATAAGACTCCAAAGATGAAAACTTGGTGTGACAAAAGTGCCTCATAATTATTGATTCATCATCGGTGAGTGCATTTCAGAGGGTATCATCGCTTGTCGTGGAAATTTAGTAACAATTCACGAGTTTGATTTGTCCCATATTATTTCCGACTATGTGCTACCAGTCACATGGGCTGATTTGTCATCGTTTTGATTTGATGATAAATGACAGATGTAGTAGGAGGGAGGGATTGGGAAAACTTATATCTCTGAAAATTATTTTGTCGTTGTGTGAATGTAAATCACATTCCACACCTACACTAATAAAACAAATGACTCTCCGTTCCAGCTTTGCTGAAATTCACTCATTAGTCGTTTTGCCCTAATTATTTTTGTCATGGCAATGATGGAGAGTGCCTAGTAGTGGAATCTAGGGTATGCATTACGTCCTATTCGGGACTCGTCAGCTGGATGCCCCTGCCTCTCAGCAAGTGTTGTTCCCACAGGGATATGAAATCAAGGCCGATTGATTCAAACGATAGTGTCATCCACCAGCCACACACCAGGAGTGGCTATCGTGGGTAGGTGGTGTAAGACGAAATGCGCATCCTGAATTCCACTGCTAGCCACTATCCATCATTACTAAAATTAGAAAGCAGCTTATTTCGAGGCCTTCACACAGGAGCCCATAGATACCAATCAATTCGATCCAATCAATGACGGTATAATACAAGCAACTATACTATCATTCTCATATATTACACAATCACTGAAACAGAAATTTCTGGTCTATCGGACTAAAGATACACTTTCCTCACCATTCTGCGTTTCAATATTCTTGTGCACATTTTGAATAGTGTGACATTTATTTTGTCACTCAACTAAACAGTAGGTATCATGAAACCTCTTCACAAGACGCAAGTCATACAGTCATTCTTCCACCAATGACACCACCAGTTTATTGTGTTGACATACAAATGCTTGTTAGCGATTCCCATTATATGTTATTATTATCATTATTATTTGTCCCTTGGGTTCCTAGTGGAACATAGAAATTCAGTAGCACATCTCCATTCCACTCTGTTCTCTGCAATCTTTCGAACCTGATTCCACGATTACCCACAAACTCTCATCTCCTCCATGTCACCATCAAATAGGACGCCCAACTACTCGATTCCCATCTGCGATCCACTCGACGGCCTGGCCTGGTGCGTGATGTACCCAGTCGACCATCTCAGTGCATGCTCACTCCAATCCATCTCCACTTTCCGCTTCGGCATATTTGTTTGGTGATAGGTTCTTG